CTCAAACCTTGTGGGCGGGACTAAGTTCGGACTGGCACCCAGGCTAGTATTTTCCAGACTATAGAGTGCACATGGAAACGTTCATAAGACCCTGAAATCTACTGAACTGCCTTCCACCACACCTGTAGGGGGAGCTCTACACATAGCTCCTGGATTAGGGAACAAGAAGAAGGCTAGCTCCCGTTAGCTTATTGGCTTGTAGCGGTAAGAGCTTCGACTGAAAGATGGAGCTTTATTTCAGCTCTGCAGGAGTTGAGCTCAGTCTCTTCATTGGTTCGGCAGCTTTAATGCAGCAAATCAGTGTCAAAATGTGTAAATTCAGGACATCTGTTTTCCGCCGTGCCCGCTGCTGGCATGTTCTTGTGCTAAATGAAAATTAGCCCCTCAGTCTTTGATTTCCAACTTTGACTTTACCCTCTGGCAGTTTGGTAAAATCCACAGAAAAGCCGCACCTTATATAAGCCGCATGGTTCAAAGCGTGGGGAAAAAAAGTAGTGGTTCTTGTCCAGAAAATACGGTAAAAGGATTTTGTATCTAAACCCGTAAAGCCGGGCATACACTGTACGACTTTTTTGGCCTTTTCGTGCCGATTCTCCAGTCGTGCGAGAATTTTTCAATTGGGCCTAGTTTCAGCCTCATTGGAAATTGTGCATCTTGTAGTATACAGGGGGTAATGAGGCACGATTAGCCTCTCACGACCACCTCGTGATCAGGAATCGTAAGGTCAGGAGAAAATCAAACATGTTTGAAATTCAGTCGGCATCGTAAGATTGCATCAAAGTGTCTTGCCGCACAGTGTGAGAACATGCATCGTGAGCTGCGACCTTTTAAACCCTGCGGTTTCGTTGTACAGTTTGAGCTGCAGCTGCTTGCAACGATAAAAGATATTTGACAATGTACCGTATGCTTAAGTGGTGTCAGTTATTTGGGCTCAACTGTTGGGTAGAAAAGCCTGATTTAGTCTGCTAGCAGCTGGCTAGCCCAAATGGTAAGTCACCCATCCTGCAAACAGGAAGCCTGGGTACGTATCCCAGCTGGGGGAGTGAGCTGCCAATGTGGGTCTTTACGCAAGATCCTTCATGCTAATACCACTCTTTTGGGAGTGGTGTCAAGTGGTTAGGCTGGTGAAGATTCTCAGTCATCCAGGTCATAGTCATTCCACAAAAACAAACTTTGTTTCCAAGTTTGAAGACGTTTCGCTTCTCATCCAGGAAGCTTTTTCAATTCAAAATGTCTAAAATAGCGTTGGGTTTAAGGATTTATAGAGTGGACCAAAGCAAAGCCTTGTTTTGGCTTAGAAAACATGCAAATTGAACCTGACCAGGGGCTCCGCCCCTTTGGAATATGGGTTGTTTTGTTTCTTTGTTAGCCTGTAATACCTGTAACCTGTCTATGTCTCTGAAAAGGGGGTCGTTAGAGGGAATTGTTGGCTGGCTGAACAGGCGAGGTGCTCTGGTCTAATGTAATGGGGTATGGGTTGCGATGATAGGAGAAGGAATCAATTCAATTGCTGAATTGTAGGTTTTGAAAGCTGAAATCTGAGTCCACCCCCTCTGTTTAAGGTTGGTTTGTCTTTCTTGGTTAGGGCATTGCGCCTGGAATTCAAGCCCCTCTCCCACGGACTGCCACTCTGAGTCCAAGAGTGCAAGACCCTACACAATACCCTAATTTAAACCAAACCGACCCTTAACAATCATGGACAGGTTTCAGGTATTACAGTAGACAATCCCCCCCCCCCTTTAATGACCGACCTTCAGAATCATAGACAGGTTTCAGATATTACAGGCTAACGATGGAACCAAACGACCCACTCATTGGTTACTATTTGCATGTTTCCAAGCAATACAAGGCCTCGTCTATATAAAGACTCAAACTCACTGCGGATCCAGACATTTGAATTGAGAAAGCTTCCTGGAGAGGTGGTGAAACGTTCTTCAAATCTTGGAAACCAAGTCCAGTGGATATTTTTTGAACTTTTATGGAATTAAACAAAACCGAAACAAAGGTCAAACTTTTTCCTAGTAGCTTCAGGGAGTTGGGTGCACTTACCTCTTGGTTTGTAATAACTAATTGTAGAAATGTTGGCGTGTTCTTTGAGCATTTTGCAATTCCCTAAACTATTAGCAGATATCATTTTTTTATTGTATCTTCATGCATTTCAAAAAGAAAATCTTCTGACACCCTGTATGGATTGTGCCAAATGTCAGTCTGAGGATGATTTTCTTGACCTGTAGTCAAACATTGACAGCTGCCCATATGGATCAGTGTATCTGTCACCGCCGCCTGACACCAGCTGGAGAAGGTAAGACCATTTATCTGTACATTGCTCCTCAGTCTAAGTGTTAATATTGTGATATTCATTATTCTCTCCCTTTCTGATGAGTCAGACATCTGATTTTTACTTTCTAATTGCTTTTTTATGGTAAATATTTTTAATAAAATGACAGATATTGTAAAAAAATAAAATAAAAAGGCCCATTATGCAGGGTTGTTATAGAATTTATTTTGTGCAATATCATGGCAAATAACACATTTTTTTAAATACAAAAAGTGCAAATATGAAATGAAACTTTAAAAACATTTTAACAAAAAGTTTATTTATTTTTCATATTTTATTTTTATAAATTTACTTTTTTTTCAGATTAAATTGGTTAAATATACGTTTTTAGAGATTATATTTAATCATTCG